CCCCAAACAAAAAATCGTTCTTTTTTATGACAATTCTAATCCTGCATCGTTTTGAAATGTTTCCATCAACTCGTGTCACAAGAGAAAGACTACGTTTCTCAGGAGCACTCTTCAAGTTCAGTTTCGTCTCATAGCTTCGCTCTATTTGTGACTTTTAGTTTTAGTAAAGAGGCAACACAATTTTGTGACTTTGGAAAATCTAAGCTAGTAGACCTCTAAATGTACATGGAACCAGATTTTGGGGTGGGCATACACACAATCAGTTAGTTGTTCTGAGTGATCTGCCGAAGGCCAATACACGTCTGTTGTATCGGAGATGCAAAGAGGCATGCATTATTTACCAGTTCAGCAACGATTTCACAAAGATTGCGTTTTATGTAGGCCTACTTGGTAGGCCTACGTCCGTACGGGGTTTATTGTTTTTACCTGAAGAAGAAAGAAGGAAATTGTTGTACTTAAAAATTCAGAAAGGGGGTTGTGACCCTGCCTGTCAAGTCCGTGGTACAGCATTCCAGCAGATAAGATACTGAATGTAGGCTCCCCAACGATGATTAGGGTGAACAACACAGACCTCCCTATAACAGACACATTTACCTACCTAGGCAGCATAATCAAAACTGACGGCGGCACATAGGAAGACATCATAAATAGACTCGGCAGGGCAAGATCTGTACACAGAAGCATGATCAACATCTGGAAGTCAGGACAATTTAGTATACAAACCAAGTTAAAGCTGTGTAACAGCTGTGTACTATCCACACTCCTATATGGAGCTGAATGCTGGAGGATGACTGATCATGATCGTGCCAAGCTATCTTCCTTTCATACAACCAGCTTACGCCAAATCCTCAGAATCTTCCGGCCCGACAAGATCTCCAACGCAGATCTGTTACGTAAATGTAAGCAAGAGGACATGAACACCATAATAAAAAGTAGAAGATATAGATGGATTGGACATGTTCTGAGAAGAGAACCAGACTCCATTGTGAAGACGGCCCTCCACTGGACACCCGAAGGACGTCGCAAAAGGGGCAGACCCAAAGTAACCTGGAGACGCACAGTAGAGTCTGAAATGAAGTCCTGGAATCATTCGTGGGGAACGCTGACCATGATGGCCCAAAACAGACAGAGCCGGAGATCCTTTGTTGCTTCCCTAAACGCCAGATGGCGTAAGGGTAGTAAGTAAGTAAGTAAGATAAGAAAAGATACTCGAAAAAAGAAATTATCCGCTTACGGGAACCGAACTAGGGTCTCCTGCGTGCAACGGTGAAGCGCCTAACCGCTACACCACCGAAGCAGGTGCCATCAATTCCACTCATATCTCCTATACAGAAATACGTCATAGTCATAGGGTCCAGCTTGAGATCTGTAACGTCACGGCAGCGCAAATCTTGAGAGGCTACTTCTTTCTCTTAGAACTGCTGGCAAGAAGTTACGATTCCCTCAACAGTTTATCAGTGAGGCATTCTCGAAGGTAAAAGATGGGGGCTCACACTCGTCTTGAATATGAATTGGGAGTTTGGGTCAATCGATATTGCCCTCCTTGTCTGTGTCGGCCTCCTCTTTTGCATCCACTAAATTTTGTTTCTCAAAGTACCAGTAGCCTACATTCTGTGTTCCATGTCTGGAAAAAGTCAGCTGTGCCTTGCTACTTGTCGTTTAGATAGATTGTAACTTTTGTTTTTAATTTTAATGAAAATGTTTCTTGCGCCCCCACCGACACAAATTCCAGATGATTTCGAAAACGGGCTTTGACTCTGCCAGCCAGGGTCAACCCGGAATGAGAGGGATACAAAGTCCTAGTAGAAAGACAGACATACTCAATAAAATTTCTCCCCACTATTGAATAATGCATAGTAAAAATGCAAAAGATTTTCAAAGAGACGGATACAGAGAAACCATGTCCAGAATTCCAGACACTTACTTCCCTCTATAGAAAAAAATAATGTTTTTAAATTTTAAATCAGAAACTATGCAACCGCGAAAACACCATCAGAAGTAAATTTGAACTGCGGCCAACATGAATATTAACTGTAACACTTCGCTACCCTAGAATTACAAATTTCTATCTGCTCAGTGTCTAGTTTTAAGAAATTTGACATAAAAAATGTTGAGTTTCTCAATAATAAGTCAAGCTTTTTCTTATCAAATACTTTGGAATATCTTGATAACAACATAGACTAATCCTATGATTTTGATAGAGCAGACAGGAGTAGATCTACATGTATTTGATTTCTGATCCCTCTTGTCTTAATAACTTAAAACGGCCAAAAACGTCAGACAGAACTTTGTAATTCTGAGGTAGCGACTTCACAAATTCGAAACAAAAGAATGAGGCCACATCGACTTGGAGAATAATATTATGTTCATGGAGCACAGTGTCGGAACAGTGGTTGAACCTCAGCGATCGTGCTTATGCTTAAAGAAGAACGAAAAGTCATTTTATTCACCGAAGCATCCGAGTTTGTTGACAAAACCCGCAAAAACATTGAGTAATTTACCGCTAGATTGTTGGGAGTTTTTTTTTCTTGTTCAGGAAAACGGACTCTCTAATTCTAAAGTACAGAGGGGGATCAATAAGCTAAGTAGGCAGCAGAAGCCTTGCAGCTAATGGCTTGCAATGCGGGAGGCAATTATAAATCAATTTGCCGCGTCTTGGGTTCGGACAGACGACGGAGAGTCCTTGGCCGATGAATATTCATGAGGTTTTCACTTCATGATTTCGACACTCGGGTTGGCAAGGGCCCAGATGAATGACATCATCATCTCAAGCTACGGTTGCTGGTGTCCGTGAGTGGTTTTAGAGGGGTTTGGTGGAGAGCTGAGAGCATCATCGGCCCGCGCTAGCGGCGTGCCTGATGTCTACTTCAGACCTGACCACTAGAGAGAGGGAGAGAGGAGGGGAGAGGGAGATAGAGAGGGAGAGTGGGAGAGAGAGAGGAGGGTGGGAGGGA